AGGGACCCCAGTAGAAGTACTAGCACAATGATAGACAGCAAAATATTACTCGTAGTCAGGTGAAATTGTAATTGTTCAACTCCTGCCTTATTGCTTCCCACTGCGTTTTGCACAATTACGGTATCTTCTTTAGTCTGTTTACCGCCCATCTTGGATGTTATTTTTCGTTAACTTTTTGTTAAACACGTGTACACAGTCGCGCAGCTCAAGATAGAACGCCATAGCTTGATTTAGTTCATCAGTTGCACATAGAAAAAATGTTCCACTCCAAATACGGCGAAGGGTGTCATATTCGCGTCGCGAATTACTTCGGCAGGGTCGCCATGTAGGGCGAATGTTAGGAGAGGAGTTAAACAAACGAATGATGATACAAGACTCTCTTTATTGTATTAATAAATTTGATTATATAGGATTATTATTACACTTGTGTGTGTACTTTTATATACCCTTACTACTACTACTACATGATAATATATCAACTTATCTCTAAAAAAAGTTTTGAAAAAATATTCAATATCTAAATGTAAGCAAAGGCCAAGTCGTATTTAGTCGCAATTTACAAAATTGCGACTAAATACGACTTGGTACAACGACATTGTCTACAAATTCATGAATTCCAAGTTTCAAAGCATAAATTATTTATTTTTATCAAAAACGAATTATTTTTGACTTGGAATAAAGCATTATCATTCTAACAGCTAATTGTTTATTAATCTGTGGGTAAATACTCTAAGTTGTCCTATGGGAGTTTTGGCGGGAAATTGACCGGCGGCGGTTTGCTGCTCCTGTATTATTGTTTAAATAATGGTTTGAAGTGGACTTTGATATGTAAAAGTGTTGCGATTTTGAAGTGTCTACGCATGTGAACTATTAGTGGAAACAGTGAAACAAGTGCTCTGATGGTGATGGATTCTTAAGATAAGCTGTTTGTTTGCATAGGCACCTTTAGATACCATCGCCAACTATCAGCTGTCTGCTGGATCAAGTTGCCGCTAAAATCTTCCAAGAACTGCACAATGTGACGCATCAACATATTGTGAAGCAGTATACTATGAAGGAGTGGGAAAATTACAATAAACCGAATAAAAATACTTAAGACTTGGCCTAAAGGTCTAGATACCAGGCCATAAACTCCAAAAAAAAAAGTTGTCCTATGCATAAGCATTATATTAGTCTGTGGTTGTCCTTCATCCGAAACATCGTTGCGAACTCTACCGATTTGTCCGTAGATCTACGGAATTTTGTCATCATCTACGGAACTATGGAATTTGAGGTTGAAATCTACAAAATTTTTAAAAACCTAACAAACAAAGCATTTTTTATCAGGAGTGTGAATTTAGCCAACAATGTCATTCTCTCTCTCTTCTTCTATGCCGTCTGTATAAAAAAAGTTTTTGCTTATAAATAGCTAATTTTTTGGTAAGGTTAATCGATTCCAAATTTTAATAGCGTAGATATTTTGCGTTAAATTACGTTTATATCGAATTTCGAACACTTCTTGGAAAATAGGCAGTTAATATAAACGCTTATAAAATTTTCATAGGTGATTGAATTCTCACTTATGTCTCAAATTTTTCTAAGTCAGGTTGTCCCAATTGTTTTACAATTATTTTTAAGTTTTAACTATTTTATTTATTTTTTACTTAAAATAATTTAATTAAAAGGAAACAATTTTAGTAAGTTTTTTGGTACTTTTTCTTATATGTGCAGCTTGATTCGATGTTATACCAAAATTGAACTTAGAACAAGAATATTACATGACAGAAAGGACTTCTTCAAATAATTTGTCTATCCTTTGACAAAAACAAACATTTTCAATCCTCTTTAGAAGTCTGCAGATCTACAGATATTTTGAAATAGCATCTACGGAATTCTACGGATTTGGAAAAAAAAAATGAGTTAGAAACACTGATCCGAAATCATATTCCATGGAGGCGGGAAATTGACCGGCGATGCGGCGGCGGTTTGCTGTTCCTGTATTATAGTTTAAATAATAGTTTGAAGTGGATTTTGATATGTAAAAGTGGTGCGATTTTATGTATTAACTGTCTACGCATGTGAACTATTAGTGGAAACGGTAAAACAAGTGCTCTGTAGGTGATGGATTATCAAGATAAGCTGTTTGTCTGCATAGGCGCCTTTAGATACCATCGCCAACTGTCTGCTGGCTCAAGTTGCCGTCAAAATCTCCCAAGGGCAGCATAATGTGACGCATTAACATATTGTGAAGCAGTGAACTATGAAGAAATTATAATAAACCGAATAAAAATACTCAAGACTTGGCCTAAAGGTCTAGATACCAGGCCATAAACTCCAAAAAAAATTCCATGGAGAGTTTTGTCGGGATTATGGAGTGTAGAGTAGAAGGAGGACCATCTCTGTATATGAAAAGTGTCCCTAAAAACGCGTCCAATTAGAGTGGCGCTGCAGTAGCATAGGATAAATTTAAAAAAAAGCGCCAAAATTTATTAGAATAAGATGGAGAAATAAACAAGGACCGACCAATCCGCTTGGTTTTGTACTACGTAAATAGTTGAGGTTTTGTATACTGGCATTTTACTAACTACTCTAGTCATGAAATTTTTTAAATATTTAATTCAGCTGTCTTCACTCCGTCTACAACAGCTATATTCATATCGTAGTATTTCAGACGCCAGCGCTATTGTGGTAGGTTTTGGAACCTCTATTTTCAGTATATATTGGGACACTTTTTCAACTTTCGCACCTTATAAGATGGTTCTCCTTCTACTCTACACTCCATAGTCAGGATCTTGAGCGGCGGCGGATTGACGCTCCTGTATTATTGTTTAAATAATGGTTTGAAGTGAATTTTGATATGTAAAAGGGGTGCGATTTTGTGTTTTAAATGCCTACGCATGTGAACCTATAGTGGAAACTATGAAATGAGTCCTCCGATGGTGATGTAAATCTCAAGATAAGGTATCTGTCTGCTTAGGCACCTTGAGATACTAACGCCAACTGTCTGCTGGCTCAAGTTGCAGTCGAATTCTCCCAAAATTTACGCAATGTGATTATGTGACGCATCAACATATTTTGAAGCATTTTAATTTAAAATATTATTATTACATGATACTGAAAATCTATAAAAACGTAGATCCGGAATGAAATGAGGACTTGGCCTTTAGAACAAGCATCCAAGCCAAAATCTTATTAAAAATCATATTCCATAGATAATATGCTCATATTCTGTCATAGACATAGTATCTTAAATTCTAAAGCTACTCAAACCAAGAATTACAACGAAGAATTACAAGGAAAGACAACAAAAATTTTGTTAAATTTGTTGTTTATTAATGTGATCAAAAATTTGTTTATTTTGATTTTATTGAATTATATTTAATATATAATTGTGTTTTCATTTCTTTCACTTAATGTAACATTGTTAATATTTCTAAACGTTGTGTAAGTACACAAAATTTAGTTCTTTTTCCTTTTTAAATTTCAATATATTTTCATTTAAATAGAATGAATATATATCTTTACAGTCTATCAAAAGTCCACTGTTGAACATAAACATGATTATAGTTTTTTGGCATAGTTTCAACGCTTGGAAAGCGGGTTGTCAACCACTGTTTTTTTTATTTATTTAGCTGTTATTTATGTTATTAATGCTGCTGTTTATCTTCTTTGATGTTTCCCTATGTCGCCTCATACACCACCCAAGGAATGATATGAGATAGCAGATAATCTTACACTGCATGGTAAATTAAAATAGAATGTTATAAAACATTAGTTTTTATTTTATATACCAACATATTACAAAAACAAACCCTTTGTTAATGCTTTACAACGTATATTAACTAAACATTTTATCACCTTAACCATTAGGTAATATGATTAAGCCATGTAACCATAAGTAAGTCACTTAAAGAAGGCCTTCCATAGATATCCTCATAGGATAACTTTTGCCATATTTGCCACGCCTGCGTGAAAATATGTGTTATGCTGGTTGGCCACCGCAGTTATTTATTATTTTAAGTTTTCATCGGGAAAGGCTGCTGCCCCATCCCCATCTTGTATTATTGCTTACGACGCGGGGTAATATCATCCCGTGTACAGACAAATTCTCTTGTACGCCACAACTTGCCGCACACAAGACACTAACTTAGCAAAACATGCAGGAAATCGCGGGAGTAGGCTCATAACCGTATTTTGTACTACAAAAACTAAGTGGAAACCCTTTCCTTTCGAAGGTCTATTTTCAGCACTGAACTTCTGATGGAATGGTATGTTAAAACATTTAACACAAGAAAATTTTTGTTTATTATTTAATATTTTTATTCTCAATTAATATTTAAGAACATACATAACATATTATTATTTATCATTTATCACACTTTGTACTATTAGCGCCTTCAATTAGTGCCGTCGAAATCCAAAGAGTTATTGAATGTTCAGTAAAATCGTCGATGCGCCGTTAAATACAGAATGATGATTCTGTTTTTGCGCCGTTGAATACAGAATGATGATTCTGTTTTTACGCCGTTTCCGCCCGTAGTTTTTAGTCACAGAATGTATTTTCAAGAGAAATTAATTAATCATCTGAATTATAAAAGAACATTTTTTTTATGGTAACTATTAAGTTTTTTGTATGAATATAAGTGCTGTGAATATAAATAAACCCATAACGGGGGAAATGGAACAATATCTGGTAACCCAGTGAAAGTACCTCCCGACTATTTCTATCTCAAAAGCATACGCGAATGCTTTATCTAGTCAATCCTTTATCTATGTATTCTGTCAAGCAAAAGTGAAGTAGCTTCTTACTACCTATATAATTATTTATCTATGGTGTGAAGTGTGAACTGAACTGTCAACCTTATGTCAACGTCAATTTTTTTATAGAGTAGACACTACACAACTTCTATATAAAATTCGTAAATAAAAATATATATCTAATTAGAAAAGAACGAGTTGAAGTCAATTTTTAATAAAATTATTTATTTAATATTAATTACTTGTTACGGTCAATATAAAAAATGACGTCTCAAGCCCTTGCATCCCTCACTGCTACTTACACAGATTCAGAAGGTGAAGAGGATATGGAAGATGGGCAACAAACACCTGAAAAGGAAGAAGTTAAAGGTTCTCAATCAGCTCCAACTAGTCCACATTATGCAGAAGATTCAGTTAAAGCAGCATCAGCACCTGTATCTCCTAAAAGAAGGTTAGTTTCATATAATGATGACACTGTTGTTTCTGATGAAGATCCATCATCGCCTAGCGCTGAAAACCAAGACGACATGCGGAGATTATCCATGGAAACTGACACTGATGAAGCAGTTCCTAGATCAGATCCTGATGATTCTGAAGATGGTGTTGCCATACCACCTGAACCAACTAGTAAATGTCCGAAGGAACTTCAAGAGACAATAGCAAAATTCTACAGTCGAATGGTAAATGAAGGTTTAGACATGAATAAGATTATTCAAGATAAAAAAAATTTTAGGAACCCTAGTATTTATGAAAAGCTTATACAGTTTTGTGATATAAACGAATTAGATACAAATTATCCACCAGAAATATATGATCCATTGAAGTGGGGTAAAGAGTCATACTATGATGAATTGGCCCGTGTACAAAAGGTGGAAATGGATAGGCGAGAGAAAGAGAAGAAAGAGAAACTGGCTAAGATAGATTTTATTTCAGGAGTAGCAAAGAAACCAACTGAGAGTGATGAAGAGAAGAAACGAAAGTCAAAGTGGGACCAGGCAGCTCCGAATGTAGCAGCTAAGCCTGCCATCAAGCAACCAGGATTAGTACAACAGCCTTTGACAAGCAATGTTACTGGTACTAAAGGCACAGTGATTTCTGCATTTGGTTCTTTACCAAAGAAGCAAAAGATATGACATGACAATATGGTGTGATTATAAAAGACTATTATGCTATAATTTCTAGGTAAACTTATCATTATCAAATGTTAAAATAATTGTATTACCAAATTAAATATTTTATAAGACTCACCATTCCCTTTTGTACTGAAGTAGTAAGTAACATCTCTATTCTCTATAGTATAGTATAAAAGAAAGTTGCTTTCCGCCATCTGTACACTTAGATCTTTTAAACTACACAACGGATTTTGATGCGGTTTTTGTCAATATATAGAATAATTCAAGAGGAAGATTCAATTCTATTTCCCTGGTGTTGTGGTTGTTCATGAGCGGCGGTAGTCACCATCAGGAGAGCAGTACATATAAGAGGAGGTGCAAGATCTCCTTTGTACATATATAAATAGAAGGCCACAGTTGATTGCCTTCTTGGTCTTCTTGGTCAGTAAAGATCCTGGGTTCAAATCCAAGGTATGGACAAAAATCAGTTATTGAATTTTCTATCAAGAAATACTCAGTGGTATATTACATGGTAGAGCCATGCTGCAGCTATATTAGTAGTATAGTTGTAGCACAAATGGGTCGGCTTGACCGAGGAAGGACCACACTCTTTTTTTTTTTTTTAACTTTTAGTTCAATATAGATTATAAATAATACTTATTGAAAGTCACTCTTTTGTTTGATTACACTGGTTCGGAAAAAACCTCTGTCCTGGGAAGAACCAGCAAGAAACCCAGCGGGACATTTTTTTAAATAACAGCATACAATCATGATGTTACACAAATTAACAACACAACAAATTAGAAATAGCTTGGTAGCGATCACCTCATTTCCAGGGGTTATTATCATCCATAAATTCCTTAATATTATAATAACCCTTTTTATACAAACTTAGTTTAATAAAGTTTTTGAACTTTGAACAGGTCAAACTTTGTATATTTTCTGGAATTTTGTTGTAACTTTGGTTAGAACTGGAAACACATTTTACTGGAAAAGAGGCATTCCATTTTAGTCTTCACGGGTGGCGATGCACCTGCGTTTTGATTCTCACAGCAACCACTTACCATCAGGTGGACTGTGTGCTTGTTTGTGACCCTATCGTATAAAAAAATAATTTGCTGTAATTGTGACATTTGGCAGGAGTTCTGAGTAGAGAGGAATTGTGTTCTGTAGGCAGGAGGTTTATGCAATAGAGATCAGCCAGTATGTACTCTACTATAATACATGTTAATAGACTCCATATGCTTTGTAGTATTTTATGACCTTAGAAATAAAAATTGGTCTCCTCGAATCCTCTTAGAAATAAAAATTGGTCTGTGCCCAGCTGTGGGACATTTGTCGGTAATCATTTTACTTTTAATATATTCACATGATCCTTTCTATTTCTTACAAGGTCTATTTTTGTAGGCAATATTGTTGTCAAGAGTGTGGTCGTCCTGTTTGGCTGGAGAGTGGCAACAATATCTACTTATAATTGTTCTTGCATGAACTAATGATGATCATTGAAGTCTAGCTGTATTGTACTACCTGCAAACATTTCTTCTGCCCATATTAGGTGGATTGACAACCTCATAAGATATGCAAGAAGTCAATTGATGCAAGTATTCAAAATAGTAGTGTTTTGTGGCAGTACTTGAGGGCGGCTTATGTTCTGCAGTGAAATTGTAATGGGCTGTAAAGATAATGATGATATGAATTAGCTCTTTATTCTTCAGATCTACATCTATCCTCAATGATGAATCAAAATGCAGATGCATTGTCTAATCTAAAGATGACTAAGATGGAAATGTCTTGTTTCCAGTAAAAAGGGTCTTCGGTTCTCATCACTCACCATACGAAACGCAGCAGCGTTAAGCTGCTATTTTACGCCGGTATTCTGTGAGAGCGTGGTCTTTCCGCGGTCGAGCTGACCCACTCGTGCTACAACTATACTAGTAATATAACTGCAGCATGGCATACATTCTACCACGTATATGCTAATAACTACTTTGCTACTTTTGGTCAGTTAATAAATATTTTATCATTATTATATGCCTATTATTATATAAATGCAATTACAGCCTATCAAAGGTCTAGTGCTGAACATAGGTCTCCCCATGTATTGCTTCATAGAGGGGATATTTGCTATAGTTGCCACTCTTGGCAGGTGGTTTGGCAACCGCAGTTTTTATTTTTTAGTTGTTATTAAGAAGAAAGACACTGTCCGAATAGAGGCGGTGTAAGAATATCTACTACCCCATTGACCCGTGGGTTGTCGTAAGGGGGCGTCTATTAATTACGTAAGGCGATTTTTCTATCCTCCCCCTGGAGAGATGTCGTGAGATTGGCTCACCTCCGCCCCAAATCTCACGTGAGATTTTTCAAAATGCGTATTTTAAGTTTAAATACGTTATTCTGTACTTGATTGCGAGACTATAAAAATGACTCTCACATAATCACCTCTGTAAGTTCTTCTACACTTGTTCGCATATGATACTAAATAGGAATTGTAAAATTCGTATGTTATTTTATTTATATAAGTCAGAAGTCGCTACACAAAACCCTATATTGGTGAGCAACCGACGGGACTGTGAAGATTTTACATTGATGCCTAATGAAAACTGCATCGTTGCAACAGTTAAAATTACGTCCAAGTATGCTGCGTGTACTGCAACAGCGAGGTGGTAATCTTCGCGAGCAAGCAATAAGTGCACAACGCTCCCAGTGCGGCGTAATTTGGCTGGGCTGATATTCCTGCTGGCAGCTGTAAAATTCTACGGCGCATTATACGGAGATTACACGTTAATTTTGGCGTGAGTTCAGTCTGTGACCTTGTTCACGTATAGAGTGATGGCTGAATGATGGATTGACGGGAGGTACGAGTATTAGAATTAGACGCTAAGTCAGACTGACTATCAGTCCAACCGAAAACTTCTACGCGATAACACTCATACGCATTAGGTATGGATTTTAACAAGAAAAAATGAAGGATACACGGCGATAGTTGGATCTTAGGGTATTAGTAATTTTCTTTTACGTCTTCTACGTTAGCTTGGGGTTTTATTTTTTTTTTCAAAATTACTAATAGTTTCTGCATTGCCTCGTTTCTCTTATATTTATTCACATGTTGGTTATTCGTTTTATACTAAAGAATAGGTAAAACTTCTAGTGACGGCCCCGTGGCGTTTGGCTTTTTTCGTTGGCTTAGCAATGAGTTGCAAAGCTGGGGGCCGTGGGTTCGAATCCCGCACGAAACAAGTATTTGTATGGCCTGCAAATAATTGTTCCGGGTCCGGATGTTTGTCCTTGTGCAATTTATATTTGTAAACTGCCTCCACGGTACAGGAGAAAATCTTAGTGCAGGGGTAACGTTTTTTAAAAAAAAGCGGCTCCATCGCTGTCTAATCGGTGACTGACATCAGACTGATAGCTATTAAACACACGTTCAGTTTTGGATCAGTCTGACCAGACTGACAAAAATTATTAAAATATTTAAATTATCATCACTCTGGACCATCAAACCATCAGTCTACGCGTATACAGTCAGTTTCCCATCATTTTGACATCAATCATGGACTGAACTGACGCCAGAATGAGCGTGTAACCTCTGTTGTGATAGCTGCTCCATGTAATCGTGTATCCTTCATTTTTCTACTTATTTTAGTAACTTCTAATATCAAACTCTCACTACACTGAAGCGTGTCACAGTTTCCCCACAAGATATACCCATCTATCAGTGTCCACCACCACTGCGTTGAAATTATAATATTAAAAATATATATGTAATAAATAATTTAAAATAAAAAATTTTGTACAGCCGACTTCAATATAAGTTATTAAGAATAACTCAAAAACTATTGGTCTGACCTTGATCAAATTCATATGGGACCACAAGAGAAGTATCAGCTTTCATATAAAAAAAGAATCATCCAAATCGGTTCACCCAGTAAAAAGTTATGAGGTAACACACATAAAAAAAATCGCGTCGAATTGAGTACCGTCTCCTTTTTGGAAGTCGGCAGAAAAGCAGTCAATATGGTTACATTATACCATTACTATATTTTGACTCCGATAACACAAACTTTTACAATTTCATAGCAAATTAAGAAAGCACGATATTGATAATAATCTAAAATAGCTATGTAAAAAGTTCTAAATTTAACTTACATACTAGTAAATACTAATAAATTAACAGTCTGGACTCAAACTACTTACCTAAAAAAAAAAAATTGGTTGGTATCGGTGTAAGAAATCTTTCTAGCATTGCATTGCGTGATATCCTTGCTTCGGTGCATGGTGTCAGTGACTTATGTTACACAATTTTAAATAATAAACTAGTCCTGCGCTTTGCTGCGGAGGCGAGGCAGACACGGCTAACACTCTGACCCCGCGAAAATGTTCCACCTAAAGTTAACCTAAGTTGTTTTATACGTGGTAGAGCCATACTGCAGCTATATTAGTAGTATATTTGTAGCACGAATGGGTCGGCTCGACCGGGGAAGGACCACGCTCTCACAGAATACCAGCGTAAAATAACAGTTTAACACTGCTGTGTTTCGTATGGTGAGTGTAGAGAACCGGAGACCCTTTTTACTGGAAAGGAGGTATTCCATCTTAGTCCTCACGGGTGACAACGCATCTGCATTTTGATTCGCAAACGAGGATAAATGTAGATGTCTATGGGCCACAGCAACCACTTACCATCAGGTGGACTGTGTGCTCGTTTGTCACCCGATCCTACAAAAAAAAACCAACAAAACAGTGGGATATTCCGTTGGTACGGAGAGTGCACAAAGATTTGTTTCATAATTTCCATAGTGATCAAGATCAGACCTTTGTTCGGTTCTTTGAACGATTCCAATCGAAGCGCTCTTGTCTCCATAAATATTCCCACGGTTTTAGAGCTTTGTGGAATATTTAGAGACGATGGCAAGAAACCCTACGGTATGATACTGGCATCAGAGGCAGCTGAACTAAGTAAGTGACGTAAATATGGTTCTGAGAGATGACTACATATTTGTGTCATTTGCTGTAGAAACTAT